AACTGGAGCCAGGACAGTAGCCTAGGTACCCCCGGGTGGGTGGACTAGCTACCAGGCTGTAGAGTCATTATTTTGCTAATCCAGGGAATTTTACATATTCATAGGCGATAAACCATTTTAACAGGAGTGACTGGAAGTGACCCTCCTGTGGATCCTATGTAGCCCAGGAGTTAGGCCACTCTCCTAGGAATTAGGAAAGCTGGGGTCAAGCGTCTGCTCTAAATCAGGAAGAGTAGGAATTTGAACTAGGGTCTCCGAAATTGTAGGTGAGTGTGCCAAGCACTGGGCTACTAAGTGGAAATGGGGTAAGCAGCCCTTCTTCCTCCCGGCTGTTTTGTGAGCAAAGATTGATCTGGCGTGGGCACCTAACTCCAGGAGAGGGTTTGTGGCTGTGAATCCTCAGCAGAGATAGACACTTAACTTAGGGCTAGAGTTCCTGCCAAGGAGTGGGGTTGGGATGGCCTTACTGGGAGGAGCCAGCCCAACTCTGGGGCAGAGTGGGGCGCAGGTGCAGATAACCCCCGACCCCCATTTCTGTCCCAGTTCCCCCACTCAGTACACTGCCCTGCCAGCCCCGGTGCTCTGGGTAGTTTGGTCAAGGGGCAGGGAACGGGGAGTTTAGATATGGGGTGGAAGGTCCCCACTGCACTTTCAAAGTCGTTCTGTGCCCTTAATAAAATCTTGCAGTGTGTTCACTGTTGCAAGGAAACGGTCGCCGGATATAAGCGAGAACAGTTGTGGAAGGGCTCTGCTTGCAGAACCTTTGACAGAAATGCTGAAGAGATATTTAAGAGCAGGTTAGATAAACATCTGTCAAGGAGGATCTAAACCAGTGGTTCTCAACCTTTTTTATACCAGGGATCGGCAAACCCATTCACAAGCATTTGGCAGACTGGTAACATGTTATCTGCATATTCAGTATGCAAATATGAAAATGCAAAGAAAATGTTACTGGTCCGCCAAAAACCCCAGCCCCCAGTCCCCAATATCTCCAGTTTCCAGGGCCCCACTGCACCCAACACCCAGGATTCCCCCAGTGCCAGCCCTCAGTCCTCAATATTAGCCCCGTCTCTAGTGACCCCCAGTGTCAGCTACCTACACCTTAGAGCTCCCTCGTACTAGCCCTACCCCAGGGCTCCCCAGTGTCTGTCCCAGCCCTCCGCTGCTTCCCAGCTGAGCGCTGCTGCCCGAGTTGCGCAGCTCTAAGGCTGCCATGCTGGGCTCCATGCAGCTCTTCTGTCATGCAGCAAGCTGCTCATCTGCAGCTGGGAGACTTTGCCCCTGCCTGGTGCTGGTTGGCTGAAAGGCAGGGCAGGACAAGCCTCTCCCAACAGCTGCGGCGGGAGAGGAGTACCCCAGCCCCGGCCCCCAGAGCCACCACGGCCTGGCAACAAGCGGTCTGCAGTCTGGCAGTGGGCCATAGCCCGGTGGTTACCGCTGATCTAGATGGTGCTTGGTCCTGCCGTGAGGGCAGGGGACTGAACTTGATGGCCTCTGGAGGTCCCTTCCACTTCTAGGATTCTAGGTGGGGAGGATGTGACCTGTTTGATAAGATTTTCCTTTTATATATACATGGTTGCTGCATTGGGGTTAAAAGAAGGATCATGCCTAGATTCTGGGTATGTCTACACTACACTCTAAGCCCAGGTGTGTGGGACTTGGGCTTGCTGACTTGGTGCTTGAGCATCTTTACTGCATTTTAAACCCGCACTTACAATCGCTGGACCCAGGGCTCACAGCTGTACTAACGTGTCCATATTGGGCAGACTGAGGTCTGTGGCCGATCTACAGCAAGACTCAAACTCTGAGCTACCCTCCGACCTGGGATCTGGGTGCTTGCTGACCCAAGTTGGTCTGATTTGTTTGTGCACAGAGGTGGGGCTTAACCCTGAATCAGAACCTGGGCTCAGTGTGCAGTGGAGACATTCACTTGGAGACTGCAAAGGGAACACTGGTCCCTTTACACAAGCCGGTGGAGGGGGAAGTTAGGTATTATTATGGTATCTTGCTGAGGCTTTTGGTTTAATCAAGTTGATTCCCAGAGGCAAGCATCTGTAACTGGAGTGTGGCATTGATTCTTTCTGAGCCATGCTGCTGGACTCCTGTCTCTAGCTCTGTGACAGACTGGGCCGGGTCTGGGCACTGCTGAGGGCGTCCGCTCAGGGCGAATTGCTCAAACTCAGGGTCCTTACAGCTTCTGATTGGAGACTGGTCACGAATAGGCCACAAACCAGTCACACCGAGTGCTTCAGCTGCTAGTCCGGCCAGCAGGAAGCCTCACAAGCAAAACTCCTCTGACACCCCAGTTCTCCCTGTGCCACAATCAGCCCCGGGCCTGCACACAGATGAGGGGTTATAGAACCCAATCTCACATACCCCGAACAGGTCTTTCTGGTCCCAAAGAACCAGCCACAAATCCCCAATCAATTTACACTTTGGATCTTACCCACAAGAGCATGCTTGGCCAGTCCTTTAGAATCTAAAATCTAAACTTTTATTAATAAAAGAAAGAAAAGCATGAGAGAAAGGTTGTTAAGGAGAAGACATTACATGTATTGATCACCAAGTCCTGGATGCAGGCTCTCAGCAGAGATGTTATAAACTGCTATCTAAAAAGTCTCTGGTGTACATCCTATGTCAGGATGGGCCAGCGATTCTTCCCGGCTCGCTGTTCCTCACAAGGCTGCATCTGGAATCAGGAGCAGAATTGAAGACAAGATGGAGTTTGCCTCATGGCATATGATTCTGAGATGCATTAATAGGTGTGTTGTGAGTGAGGAATGAGAAGTCATTCTTCTGCTCTACTCTGCGCTAGTTAGGCCTCAGTTCGGGTATGTCTACACTAGCCCCCCGGTTCGAACTAGGGAGGCTAATGTAGGCGTTCGAAGTTGCAAATGAAGCCCGGGATTTAAATATCCCAGGCTTTATTTGCATCTTCCCGTCCGGGCGCCATTTTTAAATCTCCTTAGTCCGAACTAACTGCCTGCGGCTACACGCGGCAGTCCAACGTTAACTCGAGCTAAGTCCTTAGTTCAAGTTAACATTTGACTGCAGCATGTAGCCGTGGGCAATTAGTTCGGACTAAGGGGATTTAAAAATGGCGCACGGATGGGAAGATGCAAATAAAGCCCGGGATATTTAAATCCCGGGCTTCATTTGCAACTTCGAACGCCTACATTAGCCTCCCTAGTTCGAACCGGGGGGCTAGTGTAGACATACCCGAACTGAGGCCTAACTAGCGCAGAGTAGAGCAGAAGAATGACTTCTCATTCCTCACTCACAACACACCTATTAATGCATCTCAGAATCATATGCCATGAGGCAAACTCCATCTTGTCTTCAATTCTGCTCCTGATTCCAGATGCAGCCGGAAGGCTGAAGGAATTGGGTTTGTTTAGTTTAGAAAAGAGAAGATTGAGGGGGGACATGATAGCAGTTTTTCAGATATCTAAAAGGGTGTCATAAGGAGGAGGGAGAAAACTTGTTCATCTTGGCCTCTGAGGATAGAACAAGAAGCAATGGGCTTAAACTGCAGCAAGGGAGGTTTAGGTTGGACATTAGGAAAAAGTTCCTAACTGTCAGGGTAGTCAAACACTGGAATAAGTTGCCCAGGGAGGTTGTGGAATCCCCATCTCTGGAGATATTTAAGAATAGGTTAGATAAATGTCTATCAGGGATCATCTAGACAGTATTTGGGCCTTCCATGGGGGCAGGGGACTGGACTTGATGACCTCTTGAGGTCCCTTCCAGTCCTAATATTCTATGATTTAATTATTTTATATCCATCCCTGGTATCTTCCAAGCTGGAGCAGGTCACATCGCCACGTGACCTACCCCTGTGTCCCATGTTAGCAGCCATGATATTGGCTGGTTTGCACGTTCCAGACGCTTTCCTCAGGTGTGCATTGGGCACCTTGAGAGCCATTTTTCCTGGAGCCTCGCTAATTAGCATAGTCACTTCCTTATAGCAGGCAGTTCAGGCTCACTGCTCTGTCTTAGGCAGAGAATGCTCGCATTATCAGCACAGAGTCCATACTCATAACTCCATATACAGATATCTCACACAGGGCCGGACTAAAGGGTGGGCTAGCCGGGCAGCTGCCCAGGGTGCCAACCTATGGGGGGCGCCTGCTCCCGGCAGGCTGCAGCGGCTGCCCGGGGTGGGGCTGTGTTAACCCCCGCAGCGTCGGCCAGTAGCGTCCTTCCCCCCACGGCCGCAGGGCCCTGCACAGCCAGGCACAGCCCACCCCGGGTGGCCCCAGGCTGCGCGCCATCGGCAGTGGACTGGCTGACTCGGCAGCGTACATGCCATGCATCTGTCCACGCGCCCCTGATCACACAAATACATGACTAGCATACATAGAATCAGTAGAACATAAGCTTTCATTTGACACCTCGTACAGCCCCCTTTGTACAGACTTTGGGGCAAACACTCCCCCGTGGGCGCAGCAACGATCTGGCTGCTCCCTTTAAACTCCAGTAACGTGACAAGCTCTCCTAAAAATTCCCTCCCACGCAGGAGGCTCCGGCAGCCTTGTTCCTAGTCGAAGTCTGCCCCTGTCATGTGATCCTTGGGCTCTAAAGCTGGTACAGCTGGGGCTGAGCCTCTGCCCACTGTGAACGGGCCAGCTTATCCTTTGACACTACCCAAGAGTGTTCAGAGCCGTTCCTGTCCTGCTGTCAAACCCCAGTATTCTCCATCTCATCACAGCCACCAGGGAGGTTTAATTTATACAACTTGTACTCTTTTTGGGACATAAAATCTTTCAGGGTAACTACTTTGCACTCCCATCCCTTTCCCTTTGTTGATGCTGAATGACTTCATAAAAATGGGAGAGAATACCATTATCCCCATGCTACAGATGAGGAAACTGAGGCACACAGTGGTTAAGTCAGCGGTACAGTCAGGATTTAAACCCTATTCCACAAGTGTGCTTAGACTGCTTAACCACAGCTGTCCCCATCGTGCCTATGGCTAAAAAACCCTGCCGTGTGTAGTATGGAGTCCCTCCAGGCTAGTGGAATAGAGGAGTGAGGTCAGTGGTAGCTGTGATGTCACAGAAAGATGTATTCTAGAGTGGCAGCAGAGCGAGTCAGCTGGCGTGACCTGACCAGCTCTACAAAGGTATATAAAAAGGTATGTCTGCAGGTCCTACTCTGCTGGATGGCCTGGTCTGCCTCGTTAACCCTTCGACGGCTGCCACACTTTATTTCCCAGTTCAGTGTTTGGCCAACTAGCCCAGTGTCGTTTTCTTTATCGCTTTGCGAACAGGGGTAGCTAACAGGGTGAGGGTGTTTCGAAAGGAAGTTGGAAGGGCGCAAGGCACACTTGCCATTCTTTTAAACTTTTGAACTACACTAAAACCAAAACAACCTGATTTAAATAAAAACCCTATCAATAACCTAATTAGCTGCAGGAGCAAATGCAGGCAGAAGCCCAGCAGCAGAGTGGGGGCTATCCTGTTTATTGCACCCAATGTAGCATATATGATTACTTGCCCTATGGACTGGTGGTGTATGTGTGCATTCGGTGTAAGGAGCTCGTGGCCCTCAGAGACCATGTACGGGCCTTGGAAGCCAGGGTGGCTGAATTGGAGGCGCTAAGGGAGGCTGAAAGGTACATAGATGAGCCTTTCCAGGACATTGTAGAATTGTCCCACGTCCAATCAGACAGTCCCTGTGCTGTTAAGGAGGATGAAAGGCTCAGGGAAGGAGAACAGTCAACTGGAGCAAAGGGAAATGACCCCATAATTGGGATCCTCCTTCCAGAGGATGTTATGGTATCCTCTTGCACTGAGGATACATCTCTGGGGGAGGGAACTCCAGTCGTTAGGAAAAGCCAGGTATTAGTAATGGGGGATTCGATCATTAGAAACATAGGGTATGTCTACACTACCACCCTAGTTCGAACTAGGGTGGTAGTGTAGACATACCCTACTTGCAAATGAAGCCCGGGATTTGAATTTCCCGGGCTTCATTTGCATAAGCCGG